GAGTGCCCATAGGGGGCGCCATGGGGGTCTATGGGAACCTGAGAGTGCCCATAGGGGGCGCCACGGGGGTCTATGGGAACCTGAGAGTGCCCATAGGGGGCGCCACGGGGGTCTATGGGAACCTGAGAGTGCCCATAGGGGGCGCTATGGGGGTCTATGGGAACCTGAGAGTGCCCATAGGGGGCGCCACGGGGGTCTATACGTGACCCAAGGTGGTCTATAGGGGACCCTGCCCTGGCCTATTGGACACACTATGACACACCTATAGATGACCCAATGTCCTATAGGGGGCGCTATGGGGGGGGGGTCTATAGGTGACCCCTAGGGGCACTATGGGGGGGTCTATAGGTGACCCACAGGGGGCGCTATGGGGGGGCCTATAGGTGACCCACAGGGGGCGCTATAGGAGGGGTCTATAGGTGACCCACAGGGGGCACTATGGGGGGCCTATAGGTGACCCACAGGGGGCGCTATAGGAGGTCTATAGGTGACCTACAGGGGGCACTATGGGGGGGTCTATAGGTGACCCACAGTGGCCGCTATCGGGGGTTCTATAGGTGACCCACAGGGGGCACTATCGGGGGGTCTATAGGTGACCCACAGGGGGCACTATCGGGGGGTCTATAGGTGACCCATAGGGGGCACTATGGGGGGGTCTATAGGTGACCCACAGGGGGCACTATGGGAGGGGTCTATAGGTGAATCACGGGGGCACTATGGGAGGGGTCTATAGGTGACCCATAGGGTGCACTGTCGGGGGGAGGTCTATAGGTGACCCACAGGGGGCACTATGGCGGGGTCTATGGGTGACCCATCGGGGGAGGTCTATAGGTGACCCCGCCCTGGCCCACTGGAGGCACTATAGGACACCTATAGGTGACGCAGAGCGGTCTAAGGGAGGTGCTGTGGGAACGTTCAGCCCAGAAGCCGTAGGGCCCTATAGGGTAACACTCAGTACCTGTATAGGGCCCGCCATAGGCATTGCCCTGCAGTCCCACACAGGCCCTGCGCCGTGCCTGGGCAGCGCTATAGGCGTCGGGGGTCGCGAGGGTCGCGGGGGTCGTGGGGCACGCTCTATAGGAGCCCTCCCGTGCCATAGGTGCTGTGCCTGCTGGCCCTCATCTGCTTCGGCGCGTCGCGCTCGGGCTACGCGGGGCTGGCGGCCGTGGAGCTCGTGTTCGCCGCGCTGGTGCTGCTGGCCTGGAGCTGCCGCCTGCCGCCACGGCTGCCGCTGCTGCACTGGGGCTGGACCGTGAGCGCACACCGCGGGGCGGCCACGGGATCCGGGGGGAT